TTTACGAACTGATATCACTTATTCTTACATATCACACTTAATGTGGAGAGTAATATAAGAATTAAATCCTTGAACTTCCCTGTCTCAATGTGGGGTTAAGTAGCAACTTCTTTTTAAATAAAGTTAACTGTTGTGAGTTAAATAATCACCTAGCCTAATTATTTCAACCTAAAAATGATCTCTGCACTGGACTAAATGTATATTATATGACTGCCGAGTCGCTTTCACCCCGAAATGGCGGAAGCATAGGGCTGCTGCTGGGCGCTGGTGTTGCAATGGAACGTTCTATTGGCTTTCACTTTCACTTCTTACCACTACCAGAGCCATGTATTGAGACCACTACTAGTACCAACAAATGAAAAAAACAAACAAACACAAAACAAATAATCAAACAAATGCACATACAGTTTCATTAACATTTTTAAAAGTTATCATACATTTAATATGATCATTTGATTTTGTGGTTTCTCAGACTCACTCTTTGAATTTATAAATTATGAAAGATAAACCTGTCACCCACTTTTCTGAACCCCCTATTGTTTTCCTTAGGATTAAAAAATTAACGACTATTCTGGCACTTTTGGGGCCCTTAATGTGCTTGAAAACTCTGAAGCTTGTACCCAGGAGTGGCAGGGGTCCGAAAACTTGGTTCATAAAACAAACACGTTTGCATGTAATAATATGAAACTCGGTTCACATATAGATCTCATCAGTTCATATATTCATACTCTTTTACTTTTTACCCCAGCCCAACAGAAAATCGTCTATTAAGGGCTATTTAGGAAAAAATGCAATGGAATTCGAAAGGATTATTTAATATCTAAGATAATGTTGCCATGGCAACGCATCAAAGTTTAATATTCCTTTTTGATGCTTTTGAGTCTCTTAGCATGCTTGAAATTGCATAAACCTCAACAGACATCTCGTTTATTAGCTTGTAGATGTGCAAAGTTTCAGAAATGGGCGTGGTGAGGGGCTAAGTAGTGCCACCTTTAGTCAAAAATGGGGTATTAGTTTTACCTACAGTAACAAAAAAAGTTGCCCTGCATTAAAATGAAAATAAGTTTTTTTTTTTAATAAAGTAAAGGGATACAACCAGTTTAATTGTATTGCATTGACAATAGTTTTATATAATTCGTTTATTAATTAAATTAACTTTGGTCCATATCTTGGTCTGAAAATTTGGTCCATAAATCAAACACACTTGCATGTAATAATATGAAACTCGGTACATATATGGATCTCATCGGGCCAAACAACTTTAAGCCAGCCCAAATGGAAGTCGGTTATTTTGGTCTGAATGTGCATGTTTCAAAACCAGCCTCTAATTTTTACTCACTCCTCTTAAGTAGTTTATTTTATTCCCACCAAACATTTTTAACATGGTGAAAATACATTAAAGATGCTAAATTGTTAACAGATATTGAATATCTCAAACGGTTTGCTATGGCGAGGGATTTTGTCAAAAATAGAATCAGAAAACGTCTCATTTCTTCTAAAAATGTAATTATACACCATTTATTTGTAATTATACTAATTTAAGAACTAAATTCATTTTATTCTTTTTTTTTTTCAATTCAAGCAGTATGAAAAAGTTTAAAACAGGCTATTTAGTGCTATTTGGTAAAAAAAAAAAAATCATACATATAGGCTACTGTCCTCTTGTGTCCAAAATGATATCAACATAGTACCAAATCCCGTACATAAAACTTTATCAGGAAGCCTATGGCTATTGTATTTATATATAGATATTTTAGTTATGTGGGTGTGAAGATATTTTCCCACCGGTTAATCGACGGGCGACACCAGCGAGGGCTTTTTTTTTCATTTTTAATTTGTAAATTTGATCAATTAATTAAATTATTTACAATAAAACAGTACAAGGCTTTTGTCCTATAGGGCTGATCAAATTAAATCGTTTACACTGAAAAGTGGTGCTGGATTGGCATTGGCATTGCCTCTGTGTCCTGACCTTTTCCTCTCCTCCTTCCATACCATCAGCTCCCAGATCACGGACTGTTGCGCCCTACAAACTGAAGACAACCAAAGGTCCTATGGACCCCTGGCTCAATGACTCAACTTGGGTTGCCAGGCGTCAGTGTAGACAGGCTGAATGTTAATGGAAGAAGGATAGGCTGCAGGTGTCACTGAAAATGTTTAGAGACAGTCTTGCCACCTATCAGAAAGCAGTGAAGGAAGCTAAAGGACAGTACCTTTCTAATCTCATCAATAATAACAGCCACCGTCCTGTAATCCTGTTCACCACCATTAATTCTGTTATAAATCCAGAGTCTGCTGCTTTGAATGATGTATCTGAGAATACATGCAATGTATTCAAAGAATACTTTTTGGACAAGGTTTTGACCGTCAGGCAAACAATCACACAAGCTCCTGCTGTTGCCTTGTCCACACCGAACTTTGAGGCTGTTTCTCTTGCGGACCTTATAAAAGCTGTCAAAGAGTTGAAGTCTACCACCTGCACTCTAGATGCCGTTCCTGCTAAGATTATGAATGAGGCTAGTGACATCATTGGTCCCTTCCTTGTTCCATTCATAAACACCTGTCTAAGTTTGCTCTCAAACACGGTACCGCTGCTGCCTTGCCTGATGTGCTCTCAAAATCTCACCTGTCATTTCCTAAGTTAATTGTCTCCCAGAATCTCTGGCACTGCTGAATCGGCACTGCTGAGGGCCAATAATGACATTCTGGGGGCCCTGGATTGTAAAAGCTCTGTGGTTTTGGTGTTACTGGACCTGACCGCTGCATTTGACACCCTGGATCATGCCATTCTCACCTCCCGTCTTCAACATGTTGTCAGTCTGCAGGGCGCAGTCCTTATTGGTTCACTTCATATCTCACCAATAGAACTTTTTCAGTAATGCTAAATGACTTTTCCTCCTCACCTGCTCCTCTGTCCTCAAGTGTGCCTCAAGGATCCATTCTTGGTCCGATTCTGTTTTCTTTGTCCTTGTGGTCACTTGGTCAACTCATCTTCAATCACAACAATAATTTAATAATTAATTTTAATAATAATAATAATAAATAATTTTAATTTCCATTTTTATGCCGACGACCTCCAGATTTACCTTCCTGTGATTCTGCGCTGGTTCCTCTCCATAACTGTCTTCTGGACATCAAACAGTGGCTTTCCCAGAATTTCCTTCATTTGAATGCTGACTCACCCAATGGGTCTCTCAGTTTTGATCCTCTAACACCTCAGTATCCTCCCATTGTGCGTAACTTGGGTGTTAGATAAGAGTGTGCAGTACGATGTACAGATCAGTGCAGTCGTGTAGGCAAGCTTTTACCAGTTGAGGCTCTTGAGTAAGGTCAAACCATTTCTGTCAAGAGCTGACCTTCCATGCCTTCATCAGCTCGAGGATAGACTTTTGCAATGCCTTTGACATTGGACTTAATCAATCACTCCTCAATAGGCTTCAACTGGTACAAAATTCAGCAGCACGTCTCCTTCGTAATGCCTCCAAACGCTCTCATATCACCACAGTCCCCAGTTTACTCCACTGGCTTCCGGTGCGGTTAAGGGTGGAGTATAAGATTCTGCTGTTCGTGTTCAAGGCCATCAATGCTGTGGCCCCGGCCGACCTCGCAGAACTATTAACAGTCTATCAACCTGTCAGAACCCTACGCTCCTCTGAATACACCTCTTTGGTGACTCACAAGTTTAAATATAAGAAGTTTGGAGGTCAGTCTTTTGCCATCCAAGGCCCAAGGCTGTGGAACGCACTTCAACCTCAACTACGAAGTATTACGTCGCTGAGTACTTTTAAAACGCAGTTGAAAACACACTTATTTAGACAAGCTTTTAACATGTAGCTTCCGTCTCTATTCTATTGCTTCTAATGTACACTTTTAATATATTGTTGTCCTTTGATGTTTTTTGAAAGTGCCTTGTGCACCTTTTGGCTGTTGTAAGGAGCTCTACAAATAAATTTTGATTGATTGATTGATTGATTGATTGATTGATTGATTGATTGATTGATTGACATTGGGTGTGGTCACTGCACAGCACTGGGGCCGGTAAAGATTACCTGAAGACACTAAGGCTGGTGAGGGTCACTGGAAGGCACTGAAGATGGTGATGGACGACAGGTGTAATTTATAAAGATACAGACAAGACAGATGCTGATGTTGACTCTGAAGCTGATTCAATTAAAACTTATCATCTTCATTCAATTAGTAGCAATTCTCTTTTTTCTTTATTAGGTCTGTCAATATTGCATCTAAAATGTAAGTGACTTGACTTGTGTGTGTGACTGTGTTTGTTCCAGTGATAAGAGTTGTTGTTTAAAATTTAAGGCCATGTCTTTTTGGATATATATCTTTTTTTTTTTTATTACAAAATATGCATACAACCCATATATATTAAATGTATTGTTTGATTTAAATTAAATTAAGATAATTGAACCTGAATGAATTTAAAATTAATGTGAATTCATGATTGATGTAAATTTAAAATTATAACAAATATTTCAGATCATATATTTTTTCTTAAAATTTGAACTAACACTAACTTCATTCTCAGATGAATTATAAATAATTTATTTCTGTATAAAATAAAAACACATGATTTTTTTTTTTAAATCAATGCAGCAAATGTAAATGAAAAAAAAAAAACAGATTAGGGCTCTGTTCGAGGACAAGAAATTAAAACCAATGCAAAATGATTGCACCCAAAAGATGGCAGATCTTTTGGGTGCAATCATAGAAAGATCGCCTTATTTTGCCTAATGATACATTAATTTGGTCATAAAACCATATTCGATAACATATAAAAATTAAATAATATTTTTGAGTAGGCTAATTTTATACTGGTAGAAGGTGTTCTTAAAAAACATGTTGAAATACAAAAAGTTATTTAATGTCATATCCAATGTAGTGAAGCAGCTGTCGTCAGGGGGTGCTGCAGCACCCTTAGCAGTCAGCACCCCTAGTTGCTGCAGCACCCTCCCTCAGCAGTGAACACAACCCCAATCCCGCGGAGTCGACATGTGCTTGTCCTGAGAACACAGTTCCACCTTTAGAAACAATTCATCCGACAGCAATGCAATTAAACATTGGCGTTACAAAAATGTCGTTACGTAGCCTTTGAGAAACTTTCTTTCCAATTGACATCCTCAACTGCTTTCGTATAGAGGAACTTGAACCTCGCCTACTTTGCGTCAAGTATAAAGCACTAGAAAATCTAAAAGTATTCTACAACTCTCTTTCACGATAACGGAAGGATGGCCAACAATAATGGGAATATACGGAACAATCGAATAGATGACAGCATAAACTGCCCGACAGAAAATGATGACAATCTGCAGGTATGACATATCAGTTTTAGAGAGAATTTATACATTAGTGTAGGCTTTGTAAATAACTTGCATGGCTTCGGCAATGGAAACTAAAATATGTTGGAACAAATCTAAAAACAGTCGGCATGTGAGTCTTTGCTAATTTTTCTAGTGACTTAAAAAAAGTCGGTTACACTTTATTTCAAGGTGTCCGTCGTGTTACAGTGAAAAATTATATATTTAAGTACTGAGTAATAATAATTAACTACATGTTGCCTACTTAGGGTTAGGGTATGATTAGGGTGTGGTTTACGGACACTGTAAAATAAAGTGTTACCAAATATTGTAGGCTACGTTAGCCTATTTATATTTTCTTGCTTGTTCTGTGCCTATATTAAAGTGTTTCATATCATTTTTTCCTGTTAAAGAGTTTGTTCAACCAAAAATTCAACTTCTGTCATAATTACTCATGCCCTCATGTATTCTCAAACCCATAAACCCAGTTCATCTTCTAAACACAAATGATCAAATATGAGAGATTTCTTTCCTTCCAGCTATGTAACTGACACATTAACTTTTTAACGCTTCAAAAATTTCATAAAGAGATTTTAAAACTAATCTGTATTGAGTTTAGTCCCTTTTTTATGAAGAGACACAATCGCTTTATGATCAGATTAAATTAAGTTTTTATTTACATACACTACCAGTCAAACGTTTTTGGACACCCCATGGTTTTCATATATTACAATATTTTGCAAATATTGTATTGAAAATAAGTAATATGTTATACTACAGCACAACAAAACATTTTTGATCAGCTATTTGAAATTAAATAACATGAAAAGCATAACTCTTAAACGTTTCCAATGATGGTCTACAATTTGTTTGTAAATGACTGCATGTACCTGTTTACAGATATAATGCTAAAAAAGTGAAGTGTCTCATGCTGCGTTCCAGGCAGTTTTTTGAGCACTTAAATCTCAACTCACGACTTTGTTGTGTTCCAGGCCAGTCATGGCAAACTACTTGAGCGCATAAGCATGATCAATGCTGCCAAGTTCAGGTTTTATCACCTTAACATTTCCATGCGGCAATACACTTTCACAACATGCTTATTGTTTCAGACACATAACATTGTAATACATAATCGCGTGTGTATTATTATCATTATTATTATTAATTTGACTGCTACGCTATTGTCCTAAAGTGTATTCTCACCTTGTACCACCTGCAGAAACACTGCATCCGTAAGGACTGCCATTGTTGTTTTGTATGGTTTTGCGGGCTATGTGACGTCAGAGCTTTTAACTGGGAGTACATGGATCTAGTACGAGTTCACGGGTGGGAAGTCACGGGTTTGCCTGCCGTTCCAGTGCACTTTCACGGGTATAGGGTTGGAAAAATACAGGTTACAGGTTGCCTGGAACGTGGCATAAGTCACAGTTGACTGAGCTGTCCAGCTGAATTGAATTGATGTTTTATTAACAAGGTTCAAGAGGAACCTTTTGGTTGGTTCCGCCTTTCGGTTGGCATTTCACCTCACCGGACTCGTTCAAGATCTGGTTTGCCAGCTCCCATTGCAGACACTAGCCTTAGGCTGCCACCACTTGTGGACATTCCATCATCTTCTTGCAACTACCGCTAACACCTTCCCTCACAGGCTCACACATCTCATTCATTTCCCCCTTTCCCCCTTATGCTTCTCTCAATTTCCCAATAGTCGCAGCCCTGGCTTCTCTCCCTTACAGCTCTCTCTTAAATGCTAAATCACATTATTCTCTTTTTACAGCTACCCCGATACCAGTTCCATCAAACGCTGTCGCTCTGGAGCCTCCCCGAGTGGTAGACCTTTAACATTTACTTTCTCTACATCTCATGGTGGATCAGTCACAAAAAAAAAACACACACATTCATCACGTTTACTTTCTTTTTCTGAGTTTTCAATCGCTTTCAGCCATTTTACAGAAGTCATTTGCTTAGCTTTCCCTCATAGGAGGCGTGAATCAAGGACTACTTAGCGCTTATAGCTGAGCTTACATTGTCCTATGGGGGCGGGCACTTTTACACCTATCACAAACTCTTCTCAGCAAAATGCGCTGTTAGGGTTTCTCAGTGGAACCAGTACCCTTACTGGGGAGCCAAGACCGGCAACTATCAACCAAAATCCACACAAGGCTAATTTCAGCTTCAGAGCATCTATGGACAGCAAACTCTCATGCTAAATCCCATCTCGAACTCCTAGCCATAGACGACTCGAATTAAACCTGTGACACGCTTTTGGTTCCAAAAGCACCTCAAATTTGTTCTATTAGGCATCCCAGCAGAGAATGTTTCCAGCCATTCCTTCCGCATCTGGGCAGCAACCTTAGCAGCCCAAAAAGGCCTCTCCCAGCAGCAGAGCCAAGCCCTTGAAAGATGGTCCTCAAAGCTACATCAGAAGAACCAACCGATTCCATATCAGAAAAGCCTAGCAAACCCTCATTGGATAAAAATATAAAAAATAAATAAAAAGCAAGAGCCTTCCCAGCCGAACATCCATGTCTTCTATTTCTCTGTCCAGCAAGCATTGATGTCCCAGCAGACACAGCGAGAGACTTCCCGGTCGAGTATCTATGTCTTCTCTTTCTCCGTCCAGCAAGTATTGATCTCCCAGCGGGCACAGCGAGAGCCTTTCCGGTTGAGCGTCTATGTCTTCTCTTTTTCTGTCGAGCGAACATTGATGTTCCAGGAGACACAGCGAGAGACTTCCCGGTCGAGCATCAATGCCTTCTCTTACTCCGTATAGCGAGTATTGATCTCCCAGAGGACACAACGAGAGGTTCCCCAGGTCGAGCATCTTCGTCTCCTCCTCCTTCGTCCAGCGAGTATTGATCTCCCAGTTGACTCAGCCAAACCCTTCCGGTCAAGCATTTATATTTTGTCAAGGTGTGTTTTACCCTAGGTTATGTTTATATTTGCATGTTTTATAACATTCAGTGGCAACCATGGGAGACAAACGTAAACTAACAAGAGAGAATAGGCATGCTATTGTTACATCGAAGAAACTATGACCACTTAAACCGAGACCAAGACACTATCAAGACCAGAGTGTATCGAGACCAAGACAAGACCAAGAACAAGACCGAGACCAAGTCGAGACCATGACTGAGACCAAGTCAACACAGAGGGGAAAAAAACAGACTAGTGTTGTTGAAGCTAAGCAATATCTTAATAAGATTTTGTTTTGCATTGCCTGGCTATCTCTGCCGGTGCCGATTTCAAACTTTTAAGTACATAATTATATTTTTTTTTAAAAACCATCATCAACTGATATATATGTTTTACTAAATATTAATACATCAAAAACTGTTCATGATATGTGTTTTTTAAATCAAGTCGTCAAAGTGCTCATTGCCGCTGTGATCGGTTCTCGCGCACACTGCACTGTCTTCACTCGGACGCGCACTTCAATCTGTTGCGGATATCATTGTGGATAGTGTAGTATTGTATTGCTAAATCCCCCGACCACTATGTCGGTCTGAGACAGCGAGACCTAGACAAGACCGAGAGGACCGAGACCAAGACAAGACCAAGACCAAAGACCACCAAGGCCAAAACCGAGACCACGTAAAAGTGGTCTCGAGACATACATCACTACGCAGCACGCTTGAGCTTCTGCAAGAACCAATGGGGTTAATTCTCGTGTGTTGCGCAGCACGTTCAAGCTTCCTCAAGAACCAATGAGGTTTGTTCTGGCATGTTTATGTTTGCTGATCAACGTTTAAATATTAATAAAAGCCTAAATTAAATCTGTTCATTATATAAAGCAATTGAGTCTCTTAAGAAAATTGCACCGCTCTGTAGCAAGGTAAGTGTTCAGGGAAGAAGAAGGTGTGAAACGGCAAACGTTCAACACACTTTAAAATAAAAATACAAAAAACACAAAACGAAAGTAGAGCGGCAGCCCCTCACGGAAGACTGCTGCATAAAAACATTGTTAAAAAACACAAAGTAAATAGTCCAGCGATGGACTCTTTCATTCTTCACTGTTGTCACTCCTTTTCTAAATCCGAAGCCACTCAAAAGCGGTGTGGTGCACAGGTGACGCTCATTATCAATCACGCCACCGGCCTTGCCCCGTTCCCATGGTTCTCGGACCTTGCTTACTACATACCCCCATCGACCCTCGCAGGCCGGGGGGTACCTACGAGACTGTGCTCTGCTCCCCTTCCGGGGGACCAGTCACGGTGACTGCGGCACCTGGGGATAAGGACAGACAAGGCGAGACAAAAGGAGACAGAAGGATGAGGAGAGACTGAGGGGAGAAAGAAAAAAATGATCCTCCACTAGCTGGGTCAACTCCTGCGTGATGCCTTGCAGTGAATAGCCCTCAGTGGACGGCCCACTGACTCCTCCACCACCTGGTGGACTCCGATGGCTTCTCTGGTTGGAGTCTCCCATTCCCTGCTCTAGAGTCTATGGCAGTAGAGTCGGCTCAGCTCGATAGCACCAGGGAATTCACACAGCGATAGCAATTGTGCCACCAGCCTCACTCCATTCCTATGGCTCAAGGCCCCGCCCTTGCTCTATTCATATGGATTAGTTTTAAGATCTCTTTATGAACTATTTGAAGTGTCAAATTGGTAGTTGCGCAGCTGTCTATGAAGGGAAAGAAAGCTCTCAGATTTTATCAAAAAGATCTACAATCTTCTGTTTCATAGATGAACGAAAGTCTTACGGGTTTAGAACGACATGAGAATAAGTAATTCATATCATTCACTAATAGAGCGTTCACATGTGACATTAATGCGTACATGTTAATCTCGTGCAGATAACTCCAGGCATCCCTTTGTCCAGGAAACTGTGCTATGCCATTGGAGGAATGCCTTATCAAATGACTGCAACCGCCAAGGGCTTTTTCATGCAGATCTTTTTACTGGATGTTGTGAAGGTGAGTGTTAAAGAATACAAGATGTGATTTTTTCAGCAGCTGTCAGTGGTGAACACCATACAAATAGATGTCCTCTATTCAAATTCACTTTTACAGCAATGTTACATATAAAGAGTTCAGATGCAAAAGCCTCTAAATGCCATTTGAAATTTTCTTCTAAAATGACCATTTTTATCAAGCTTGTATATTTAAGTTCAGTAATTTCACTTAAATGACAAACAAGCTTGATAAAAATGATCATTTTAGAAGAAAATTTCAAATGGCACTTAGAGGCTTTTGCATCTGAACTATTCATATATAAATGTACATATAAATGTTTTTCCTTGATACATAAAGTAAAAAACATTTAGTTTTTTAACACTACCACACCCATTAGTTTGTTTAGTGATACAGGAAATCACCCTATACAATGCTAATATGAATGTTAGTTGTTTAACAATACTAAATGCGCCAATTGTTTACATAATAATTGTGATTTGTTGGCTTTTTCACTGTGTGAATGTGCAACATGATATTGTTTGATTACTTTTGAACTAAATATAATCCAGTCTATATAACTTAACTGAGCATTATTTTCCATTAAAATCTAACAAAAAATGATAGTTAATACAAACAATAAGACAATAAAAACATCCCGTTGTGGTTAAAGGATCAAGGCTGATAAATTAAAGGTTGTAGGTTCAGACCGTAAACTGTATGAGGTTTCATCATGGTCCATCTCAACTGTTCCTCAATTTGCATGTCATGTTTGCATGCCACACACTCAACACTTTTTACTGAACTATTAGCACAGGAAGTTAAAAAAAAACAGAGTAGGCTTATATGAAATATCCTGTGAAGGTTAAAATATGTTATACTTTAACAACTTGGTTAAACAGTGTTTTTTAAGTAAATGTTTTATTACAAACGTATTTACTTATTATTTTTTACAATAATGCATTTATTTTTTTGAGAAATAAGCAATTTTCTTCTGGCCAAATGTTTTTCACAGATGGACGCTTTCTCTGCATCGATCATCCTCTTCCTCGGTCGAGCTTGGGATGCCATTACGGATCCTCTGATTGGATATGCCGTGAGCAAGAGTGGCCGGACCAGAATTGGTAAACTTATTCCTTGGTGAGTGAGTGTACTGGTTAATATCTAGCTAAGTGTGAAATCAGACCAGAGTTTACATTTATACTACATATTTTGATGAGGATTGTGTCTTTATTTATTTATTTGTTCATTTTATATGCCTAATGTGCATCATTATATAATCCACCCTCTTTACACAGGATTGTTTTAACTATGCCACTTGGGGTCACATCGTATGTCATGCTCTGGTATACCCCACAGGACACCATGTCCTCTGCCTTCAGTTTCAGCTGGTACTTCATATGGTGCTGTCTCTTTGACACCTTCATGAGCGTAAGCCCACTATTACTATTATTATCTGCCCACAGTTTTCAGTTGTTTTACACATTCAGCGTTAAAACCATTTCATCTGTTAAGGACATTTCCTGCTTAGGGGGATGACCCAATTTAAATTTGTTTTTGAACTGAGATAATAATGCTTTTTTTAGAATTTGTTTTACATTGCAAACAAAAATACAGTGTCACTATTGTCCTCAGCTCTTTCCTCTGAAGTACTTATGGTGATTAAATATAGTACTCATTACCGTAGTTTACAAACAGCTATGTTTGCTAATATAATACGTTATATGATTCACAAGTTGAAACATTTCTTTCTCTTTCTGTCTTGCTCAGTGCTACCATGTGCCATATTCTTCCCTCAACATGTTCCTGGGGGGGAATGAGAAGGACCGAGACTCAGCCACTGGTTACAGTAAGAAAAAATATAGCCTCAAATGACAATCATTTGTGGTTCAAGCACCAATAACACTTTTGGTAACACTTTACAATAACAGTACATGAATAATTATGTACTAATACCTGTAGTACCTTAACTACGACATGTGTCATTCCTGCACCATCTTAACTACACGTTAGTACATGCTTGTTTATTAATGCATTAATTAAAGTGTTATCACACTTTTTTAGGAGATAAGTGTGGGGCAAGTTGATAGAATTGCCATGCATCTTAACTTTTCATTTCCTGTGGCTGTCTCTAGTGGACAACATTATTATAACAGCCTTCATCTGTCATCTACAGTGACAAAAAATGACAGATAATCTAGAAATTTCCAAAGATTGGACATTCAGAAGCATTCAAAAGAAACAGGCCAATTACAATTAATTTGCTCAGTGCAAACACAGTGTTTTGTGCCTTTCAGAATTGAATTTAGAATGAATTTGAATTTAATTTGAATTGAGAAAGCAAACAAAAGAATATTCAAAATTCTATAAGGAAGTAAATTTCAAATTAATTGGAATTCAAAGAACTTCTTTATTATTATTTGTAAGCAGGTTACAGTGGAATTTATAGGGATTTATTTATATTTACTTGAATTTAAAGGTTATAACCTTACCTGAAATCTGTTTCCTGTTTAAAAGAGAAAACAGTCAAGACCTTTGCTCTCTGTCATGATACAGGAATGGGCATGGAAGTGTTCGCCACCCTGGCGGGAGCTGCCATTCAGGGTCAGATAGTGGGAGTGCACCATGCCAAAAAAACTAAAATCTGTAGCTCACCGAATGGCAGTGATGAGACTTCTGGGAACCACACAGATGACATAGCTCTACAAAATACAGTGAGGCACAGAAAATACCCTTTTACCATTGTGTCAAGCATATTAATGGATATAGTGGAAGTTCTTATAGTTGTTGCTTGTGAAATGGCCATACATTTTGACTGCCGACTATCAAGGGAACTGTTTTTCTTAAATCCATAATTGAGTCATGTGTAGAAGATGAGATGCTTCCTGTTTTGAGCCTTGTTGTGGGAAGTGTTGTACCAGAGAATGATGAAATCAGTGTTGTGCCAGAGAATGCAGTGCCTGTGCAACGCATGCCTATAGGCAATAGGCTTTAAATATCATATTAGAAACCCCAAAATGTATATCTAAATTCAGCAACAAAGTATCTTCTGTTTTATTCCAGGAACAGGAATTAGACTCTTTAGATAAGATATTTTAGGTTTTGAAGATTTGGTTGAATTCAATTTAATGTGTCCATCCAGAATGAAAGTGTTTTGAAAGGAATAGTGCCATTTGTCTTGTAATTTTTCTACAGAGAACAGCCTATATGACTGGTGCACTGATTTTAGGAATGCTGTACTTTCTGTGCTGCCTCGTGCTTTTTCTTGGAGTAAAGGAGCAGTTGGGTAAGTCCAAATGAATTAACATGAGTTCAAATGCCATGTACCAAATACCTATATTTATTTATTTTTGGGGACAAGTGACTAGATGCAGTGACATCTAGAGTAATTCAATGATTTGCATGTGTCTACATCTTACTTTAGCCCCTCTGAGTAAACTGGACCGCATAAATGTCTCCTATCTTACTGGTATGAAGATGATATGGGGACACACTCCATATGTGCATCTTGTATTTGGCTTCCTCTTTGCTTCACTTGCGTTCCAGGTCAGATGTTTTTTAGTTTAAATCATGAATTTATCTTTGAAGTGATTGTAGTTAATATACCAAAATCAACATGTATTGTCTATTAAGATGCCATGTTATGCATTATAGTTGTTAAATTAGTCATGCAGTAGAGACAACAAATGCAAAAATATTTGTTACAGATGGCTCAGGGAAATTTCGCCCTCTTCTGTACTCATGCAGCGAATATGGGAGGACATTTTCAGCATCTTGTTCTCATATTATTGGTGAGGTATCCATTATTTGAAAAGTGTATATGAAGTACTGCATATAGCTATTTCTGCATGATCTAAAAAATGTGTCAGGCTGCTTTACCTATATATAGTATATGGATTACAATTTCAAAAGCACATCATATTATGTTTTTGAATGTTTTATCTTAAACACATGCACATTTATGCAATATTCAGGCAGGTTAAGCTGTTAATTTGAAGGGATAATTAGGAATATTACAATTTCTGCTCTTCTACAGACAGCAGCCACAATGTCAATCCCAGTGTGGCAGACATTATTGGTCAAAATAGGCAAGAAGACCACTATATGCATCGGCCTTTCAGTGAGCACCCTTTTTTGTTAATTGTTTTTTAATGGCTTTAACAATTAAAGGTGTATATTTTTTCCACAGTTTCATTTCCTCTTTCTTTCTCCTCTCCCCTGCAGATTTACATCCCAACTCTAATTGTGATATCCCTAGTGAAAAGTAATTTACCCGTCTTCATTATTATGTCCATTTTAGCCGGCACAAGTATGGCAGTCCTCTTTTTACTCCCTTGGTAATGTAACCCTTATAACATATCTCTTCTTCATTGTTAAAGACCTTACTTGATCACATACACATACTCCACACCAGCTCCCCTTTCATTATTGAGACATTATGCTAACCCAGATAGTGGTCAGCTGGGAATTATTCTATGATATGCTTGGCCCCCATGAATAGGAAAGCATACTTTCCCATGCTTTAATGCACATAGTCAAGCTACAAGTAAGATTGCAAGTAAGATTTAAAAAAAGAAAGACTTATATTCATCGAGGAGAACACATTAAATTCATCAACAGTGACCGTAATGACTTTTACATTGTTACAAAAGATTTCTATTCCAAATAAATGCTTTACGGTTGAACTTTTTATTAATAAAAAATGTATCAACATTGTTTTCAACATTGATAATAAGAAATTTTCTTGAGCAACAAATCAGCTTATTAGAATAATTTCTAAAGGATCATGTGACACTGAAAACTGGAGCTGAAAATTATTTCATAATAATAATTTTTTTTGTTAGTTTTACAGTATTTTTGGTCAAATTATATTTATTGAATATATATATTTTATAAAACCAGATTTATTGTTTATTTTAGGTCAATGCTGCCAGATGTAGTGGATGACTTCAAAGCCAAGAACCCATCTTGCCAGGATCTAGAACCGGTATTCTACTCCTGTTATGTTTTCTTCAACAAATTTGGTGGAGGCATGTCTGTTGGAATCTCAACTTTGGCACTACAGTAAGAGCTTCCTTCAATCGGATTGTTTTTTCTTTGCCAGCAATGGAAACAAATGTTATTTTTAAACAAAGTTTTTATTTGAACCCCCAAAAACCTTCCGTGACTGATTTCACAATACTTTAACATTCATCCTTAACTCTTCAGCTTCGCAGGATACAAGCCTGGTGCTTGTAAACATAATCCAGGGGTGATAAAATCTCTGCAGATACTCTTCGCTCCTGTGCCCATCTGCCTGTTGCTCATCAGCTTGGTGATGTTTTACTTCTATCCCATCAATGAAAAGCGACGGCAGAAAATCCAGAAAGCTTTAAGGAAAGCAGGGTATGTGTTTCTGTTGGTATAAGATTGAGAGGTTTATTTTTCAAAAATAACTGGCTGAGTTGAGGGCTTGATGCATGATACATTAATTATTTCTACATACTTATACAATAATGACAGATAAACAATGTTCTTTGTGAACTAGTGACATTTTTGTTGCCAGATCTTCCTGCTATATGGAAGCAACTTCTTTCAAACTTACAAAAGGTTTATTTTATTTTAGTCTTTGCATTCATTTCAACACTACTATGTTATGTAACATATTCAGTGATGTTCTCTTTCTGTGTTCCAGTTTTGCATTAGGTTGTTATAACTGTTTAAACTACGCCTTAACTGCCTGTTTTCTTGACATGTTCAGGGCAGAGACCAGCATGACAGGAGAAGAAGAACTGAGCCTATGAAGTAATCATTCAGTATGTCAAGGATTCCACTATCATATATAGGTTGTGGAACTGTTAATAATGAACATGTTTTGTTTTCCATCTCAGTGGAAAGGCTTTGTATTGTGCATGGTGAATATTTCTCAATCCTGTTCTGGAGGGACCCCAACACTGTTTAGGAATCTTACAAATCTTACACACTTGAGATGAATAATGGAGAGATTTAAAGTGTGTATTGCTACATGGCTTTAAGACCAGTTGCATAAACAGTCACTGATAAGACTGTGTCTTAAGAACAAGTCTGGTCAACTATTCCACTCTAAAAAACAATGGCTTAAAACAACACAACTACTGGTTTGAGGGGCGACACATTTATGTGGGGTGACCATAAAAGAAATGGACACAGCGACCCCATAGACTTCAACGGAGAAAAGTAAAGGCCATTAAAAGCACTGACTTCCTGATGGCTGAGCGTACTGTGCAGGCTCAAACCGAGCTTGACGATGTAGATGTTACGTGAGCAACCTGTCTGACAGTTAAGTCTTCTAGTATCTGAGCCAAGGGGAATCTGAATCATTCCCTTCCGAATCTTGCAGAGACTGAGAGCGTTAGTAGGAGCTGCCCATGAGCTAGCAGCAGGATCAACTTTATGATTCTCTATGGGCTTCCCCTTTGACTTTACCGGACGTTATGCCTCCGCTGCCCAATTTTATTGGTTTATAATACAGCAATCTTATGGGCGTAGACTCTTGAGGTATGAGCATCCGCATTCCTTCATGTACGAGTCTGATTCAAGGGGGTAATCCTTCAAGCGGAAACTGAGCCACCCTGGGGGCCGCCTTTGTAGCAGACGATCACCTGCTGTTAGCATTCCATTGACTCCCATTCATTTTGGCATCACTTTGACAGCGAATAACTTTGCATCTGAGGCGTCAAAAGACTCCATTTGTCCATTATTTATTTCTAAAGAAACACGACAAATGATTCAGATTCCCCTTGGCTCAGCTACTAGATGTACAACTGTGAGACAGGTTGCTCACGTCACATCTACGTCGTCAAGCTCAGTTTGAGCCTGCGCAGTGCGCTCAGCCATCCGGAAGTGAGAGCTTCTAATTGACTTCACTTTTCTCCGTTGAAATCTATGGAGTCGCTTTGGATAAAAGCGTGTGCTAAATGACTAAATGTAAATGTAAAAGAAATGAAATGTAAAATGTAATTGTTTTAAACATGAGTTTGCCATTAAACATTGTATTTGCACTTGTTAAAAAATGACAACAAAAATGGTCGTGCTTTAGAATTTAAAATCAGCTGCTACATTCTTACAGTGAATTTTCATCATTTGTGTAAAATCTCAAGTTTGTGCTGCTGATCCACCGATCCTGAATAGAAATATGAAGAAGTTAAAGTGAATGACACGCTATTGTAAAACATCTCCCTAGAGTAGGCTAAAGGTGCTGTCACCAGGCGTTCGTTTTTAAACAATAACTTTATCTATTCTGTGTCTTAAGAAGCCTAAAATAAAACATTAGCCAAAACATCTTAACTAAAAGGACCATGCTAAATCGATAAGATCTGATTAAAGTTAGAATTTAATATTTCTTTAATATGGCCAAATCATTCACAAAATCATACATAAAGGGATGCGCATGCTCAGAATCGTCTACACCAATACGACTGCTTGATAAGATAGACCAAAGATATTAACCAATTAAAATTGGGAGTGGGCGGAGCGACCCGTGTTGTCGCGCCCAAATATGTCGCCCTGCCCAATCATCCAGAATGCACTCTGGGATAGGCCTACTTGAAACTACTCAAATTGGGTTGTTATGTGTGACCCAGGGGCCCAGTTATTAAAAAAATAACCCCAATAATGTACCCAGAAGGCTCAACCCAAGATTTGGTAGAAAAAAGAACCCAAGATTTTTTAAAAAGTAAGAGTTTGTCAAGAAGTAACCAGTTTTTCTTTTTGGATTCAAATTAGACCAATTTACTGTTTTATGTCTATAAAAAAAATATAACCAGTGTTAAAGTAAAAAATTGCATGAGGAACTTCTAAGACTAGTAAGACTATTCTAAGCAGTTTGGAACTGGCCACAGGATTGAGAAACATTAGTTGGCTAGACTTAAAAGTGCAGTGTGTAATTTCTGCTCCTTATCCAGACAGATAGTCCTGTCTAAAACCTAGACCACCTAGATGTGAAGTCAATGTTGCTGCAAAGTGTGTAAAACTCTTCAGAGAATTCAACCAATGAAAGGCTTGCTGATAACTGTCTATTATTATTAAGCTGAGTGAGTGAATGAAAAGATACACACAGTGTGTCGTGTATGTATGTACTTGAATCAGCATTTTTGATCAGAAATAGTAATGATGATAATGATGTAAAAGTGTATAAATAAACAGCCTTGTGTAAATATGTCCAATGTCATATTTTTGTCGTCATGCCTTGCAGAAAACCATAGACATAATAAATACAGACATCCTATTGGCCGCTGGAGTGTATGTCAATGACCCCGCCATATTGTGGAGGGCAACTTTCTCATACTTCTCACAACGGGAATTGAGATAAATGCCTGTTTCGTGTGCTGTTTGGGGCTGTACAAATCACCACACAATTGAAAACAGGTCACGAGGAATGATCTTTCTCAAGCAAGACTGAACATTTGTTTCTGGTTGTATTTGGTCATGATATAATTAGTAATAGTAATGTTCAGAGGAGAAAAGCCATGAAATTTAAAAATACTATATTGTGTCAGTCGACAATGTAGTTGTTAAGTCTAACTATTGAGATTTTAAATAACTAGAGATGGAACTTTTTGTGCACCACATACAAACCACTGAAATCAGTTGATAAATGTTTTTTTTAATCCAGAAAAAACGCAGCTCACCATTTACTTACATTTGATTACAGTGCGGTCTTGCCCTCCGCAAAATGGCGGACACGTTGACGTATCGCAGCAACGTTCCAAGGCGGGCCAAGGGTATGTCTCTGCAGAAAACTGTTCAGCGCCCTCTTGTGGCCATTAGTTATTTGGCCTTAAAAGACACCATGAAATCAAAGTTGTCAAAGTTATTTTTCTTAATGGAATATTGCAGTACATTATTATTATTTTTTCATTCATGTGCTCTCGTAGTGTTTAATTAAAATAATTTCTCCTCCCATTTTCCCAGGAGATATATGTTTCTATGAAGACGGAATGAACTTTCACTCACATGAGATCACAGCAACCACAATCACCTAATCAATTCCCCATGGACAAAATCAAGTGTCCCCTACATTCTTTGTCTGAGAAGCTGTTTCACTCGTGTATACATCACAATAGGGAATAAGACGATCTCAACTTCCTTTTCATGTCAAATTTAAAGTAACAGTTCATTGACAATGACAATTGAAAATTCTGTCATAATTTACTCACTAAAAACCACTATGACTTCCTCTCTTCTACAGACACGCACACGAAAGAAGATATTCTGAAGAATTTTGGTACAGTTTGGTGCCTATTTAGTTCCATTGTATCCATGATTCCACTGTAAGTTTAGCCTGGCATGCCAGACCTACATTGCTGCAAAATAATTTTTGCTGCCGCTAGGGTGCGCCTAGATTTCTAGGCTACTGTAAGTTCCCCAGTAAAATAAACCGTTTTGGAATGACATGGATGTGAATTATTAGTGGCAGATTTTTTAGTGGAACTATCCCTTTAAGATCAACATGTGTTGGGTGACTGTCAAGTTGTTCATGGAGGGGAAGTGGGAGGTGGACATGTGCTTCTACAGTCACCCACAGTACACCACTTTAAAGTGAGTGTTGAGAACATGTTACATAACTGGTACATTACAATCAATCTGTCTGTCTGTCTGTCTGTGTCTGTCTGTCTATCTATCTATCTATCTATCTATCTATCTATCTATCTATCTATCTATCTATCTATCTATCTATCTATCTATCTATCTATCTATCTATCTATCTATCTATCTATCTATCTATCTATCTATCTATCTATCTATCTATCTATCTATCTATCTATCTATCTATCTATCTATCTATCTATCTATCTATCTATCTATCTATCTATCTAACTTTCCTTCTTTTGCTTTTGAATATCACCATTTGTTTTCCAATACAATAGTTAAATATTTTTCACTCGTAGCAAAGGGACGGGCCACATCAGTCATCATGCTGTAGTGCAGTCACGTGACCTGACAGCATCTCTCTCTCTCTCTCTCTCTCTCTCTCTCTCTCTCTCTCTCTCTCTCTCTCTCTCTCTCTCTCTCTGCAAACAGCTGTGAGTGAAACAGTGTGCGGGAGGGCTCTTCGGAAGCATACACACGAGCGGGACAAAATGGGAGTAGAGATCGAGACCATAACCCCCGGCGATGGTACATAACCCCAGTGCAGCCTCTATCATATAAAGTAGCATACTATTCGTCACGCTGCATGCGTTTAACAGCTTTGTATAATTCATTTCTCTTGCTCCCTGTTTCTCCTCGCGCTGCAATCACAGGGAGGACATTTCCCAAAAAAGGACAGACATGTGTGGTGCATTATGTTGGTGAGTTGAATTTCAGATTTTCTTTTGGTCAGTGTACAGTTTGGATGTTGTAATCTTTCCCTGTTTGCCCGTGTGTGTTTATATTGATATTTGTAGCTTTATCGTAAAAATGTTTATTATAAGAAAAAATATATATTATTAAAAAGGGTAATGTATTACAGTAAGAAAATATAAACATCTAAAAAGTCGAAATGCCGTAAAGATATAGTAAAAAAATCGCAACAAACGAAGAAGAAAATCAAGCCAATATGCATCATTATTAGTTGTGTATTGTTTTCACGCGCCACATGATCCTCATGACAGCTGAGACTGAACAGATAGTCTTTGTTGTATCATGTCGGATAGACGGATTATCACTGTCTGGAGTGAGTCGACCCCTGAGATGTTGTGATTGTCTTTTAATTGTTCATACTAAGAAATCTCTGTCTGTCAAGTCGATTATTTGACAATTAGGCTATGCAACCTTGATATAATATTCAACATTGTGCCAAAACAGCCCACATATCTGTCATTATAACTTTGCATTACATTTTCATGACCCTCACTTACTTAATTTTTCTTATTATTTTTCTTTTCTTATTTTTAATTAGTTGTGGTGCATTTTCTACATAAACATTTTATTTTTACTTTAGAGTTTTTTAAGTAAAAAAAAGTTAATTTACATGAGTAAATAAAAAGAAGGGAAAATGTTGCATACTAAAAAGCACTTAAAACAAATATCCATCTTGTAGTTTAGGGCTTCCATCTCATTATTTATTTATTACATTGGAAGAAGAATGGAAAACCGGTCACATATTTTGTCTGTGGGCTTAATCTGTGCTTATTAGTCATATAGCAATATATATATCTGAAAATCCCCCTGACAGAACAGAACAATAATAAAGAATTCGCCCATTTATCTGATGCTCTAACATCCTGTTTTTCATGGCCTTGTCCTTTTCCTCTCAAATCTTCAGGCTCTCTGACAGATGGACGAAAGTTTGACTCTTCCCGTGACCGTGAAAAGCCATTTAAGTTCAAGATTGGTAAACAGGAAGTGATCCGTGGCTGGGAGGAAGGTATTGTGCAGGTGTGTAATGGTGTTTTACTCACTCAGAAAAATCATAACACTTTTTGATTGAAAGAAGTTTAAATAATATCTTAATAAAGTACCAAATCCAGTCTGTCTAGGATTGATATTTCAATGAAAAAAAGAAACAAGATAATTCATGCCTATATTTTTGTGACATTTAGATGAGTGTGGGCCAACGCGCAAAGCTGACCTGTTCACCTGATTTTGCCTACGGTAATAAAGGCCATCCTGGGATTATTCCCCCAAATGCCACCCTCATCTTCGATGTGGAGCTTCTCAGTTTGGAGTGATTTAATGCTATTCACTGCCTTTTGTTCATTTTTCATTACTTTATAAATGTTTTAAGTGTCAAAAGTTTAGGGTTACACTTTATATTGTTACACTGTAATTATACATTTAAGTACTGAGTAATATTAAGAAACTAAATAGGGTTATGATAAGTGTTACCAAGTTTAGTCTTAACATTACTTAATTAAATAAGTTTCTCTTTTTGTCACGCTGTATTTTTAGCCATTTTTTTTAGAAGCATCTTATCTTATTCAGAATCTTACAGATTTAGGCATATTATATAAAGATCTGTGCTTAATTTGATCTAAATCCACATTTCTCCTTTTGCTTTGGTCACATTACATCTGAACTAATTCTTAAACTGTTTTATTTCAGTCCAGACTTCTTCCTGTAATGAATAAGCAAATCACCAAAAACCTTGCAATGTCCTTAATCTTGAACATGTTAAATTGGCGACCAACGCACCGCACGTTGACAGGGTAACACGCTGATCCGACAAAACTATTGCCGTTGGTCGCCATCTGTCGTGCAGTGTGAATTGGCCTTTAGACTTCGTTTTCTCTTGTGACTTTTTCTCACACTGTGATTGTTGTTGGCTTGAGACCAAGTTCAAATTTTATACCAATATTGGTGACTTTATCCCTGAATCGTAACCCCCCCACAAGAAAACCATAAATTTGCCTTGAAGATGTTATGTTTGAGATAATATAAACATTGAAATATTTGTTGCATTGTTACTTTTTACATTGAATAAATGAATAAATTACAAGTTCTATTTTTTACATTTAAAAATACAGAAAGTAATTTAAGTTATTTAAATTATTTAAACACTTTATTTCGATAGTCCACTTCAGACATACACTTATTATATGTCAACTAACTCTCATTAATTAGGGTTGCATAGTTACTCATAATCAGTCGGATGTCTGTTGGGGAGCATCACAATAATGTGTTAGCAGATATTAAAGGGAGGATTCACCCCAAAATGAAAATTTTGTCATTACTTACCCTCAAGTTGTTTCAAACCTGTATGAAATTCTTTCTTGTGTAGGACACAAATGAAGATATTTTAAAGAATGTTGGTAACCCGACAGTTGTCGGCATCCATTGACTTGCATATATGGGGAAAAAAATACTATGTCAATGGGTGCTGTCAACTGTCTGGTTTTGTGTTCAACAGAAGAGAGAAACTCATACAGATTTGGAAGAACTTGAGGTTGAGAAACCGATGACAAAACTTTCATTTTTGGGTGAACTCTCCCTTTATACAGACAGTCTAGTAATACTCTAATGACTTGACTTGCAGATGCAAATATACTTATAGTTAGTAGAATGTCTAAATTGGACTATCAAAATAAAATGTTACCTAATTTTCAGTCAGTTTTGAATTGTAAGCTTTGAACAGATGGACTTTACACAGGCTCCCTGGTTTTGATTAGTGGAAAGAATCACATTCTTGAACAAAATCCTTGTGCCTCCCTGTGTGTTTTACACTTTCCAGAGTTTGACTGGTTTTGTATAAAGTGATCAGACGTGTTCACACTGATCAACTAATAAAGTGCTGTCATATCTTGTAATCACACTTTACAGTAGACCTGGCTGATTAACATAAAATGACGATGTATGATAATAGTGCCATTTCTGTTAATTTGGTGCTAAATTTAATAGTTTTCTCCCCCCCTTTGATGTATATTATTAACATATAGCTATTTGGATTTTGTTTGTTTTTGATGTGTTTACTTTCTTCTGTGTATGATGAGGTTGTGTAGTTGAGTATCTGGCACATTTGGCAGCGTAGCAATGGATGCATGTCATAATTAGTGCTTAAAGATTTTGTGATCATGTTTCACTCTTCTTCTAACAAACAATTAGCTTGCTAATACATTTAAAAGATGGGCACTTTGTATTCTCATTGAGCTGGAACAATTTGTTCTCAAAGATGGACAATGTCTGAAAAGCACATTGCGACCTACTCTAACAACAATAGATGGCTGCAAATAATTTAGCATAAAAATGTATTAATGGTAAGTAGTGTGCTGGAAATATGGTAATGTCGACCGTGCTGCCTATAGACATTTGCTATTTGATGCAGATACAGTGACAGTACTTTTTCTATTGACATGAAAACAATTTTGAATTCTAATGAAATCTGCAGACGCATAAATATTTTGAGTCGATGCTGTTTATTTCTGTGATTGCAGGTTAAGCGTCAAATAATATTTCTGTAATATTTCTGTATTTATGTATTGTCATACAGACAAAACACCCAATAAAATAATTAAAATGTGCTAAGTGCTTGTACATGTTTTGGAAAATGTTGCTTGCTTCTGTTATTTTACATTAGTTCCTTCACTGTTTTTATTCTATGTACACATGCAAATCCTTTGAGTTCAGAGGCACTCCTATTATAATACATGTAAGCTGAAGAGCAGGAGCATTTTACCTTAAACATTCTTACACAGTTTAAGGTGCTTTACAACAATGAGATTCAACAATTAATTGACAGCTGATGTTTAGCACTTTATTATTTATACAAAATAAACCAACATAGACAGAATCAGCCAAAACATATTTTTATGATTATATGATGTAGTTAATGAACTAGTCAATGAGATTTGTTAGAACTGTTAATTTGGTATCCCACCACTATCATCAAGAATATCGAGATCTCTGATCAGTCCAATACTTTTACAGTATTAACAATAACTAGAGTATATGCTAGTTTTTGGCAGTCAGAGTGGCTGGGCTAAAGTTAATAATTAGCAAAAGAATAAACATAAGTTGTAGCCCAGCCTCTCAAGATAAATGAGAAGCGAACAACGTCATGAAACAATGAAGTCTACAGCAGGAAGTAAACTGAGCTGCAAAGCCTAATAGAAACTGTACGCACACACACATACTTTCTGTCTCTCATCACCTCCCGTCTAATGTTGTTCACTTCTGCTCCAACCTAAAGAGGAAAAGGGTCCCATTTACTGCGCTCAGCTTGTTTACATTCCTTCTCATTACATTTACCCCATTTCTTCAGAAGTCACTCGTTTGAAAGCCGAAAGGTAAGACGTGATACTTTCTAACCTGAATATTGTTGTTTCAATGATTTTTAGAGTGATTTATTGAGTCATTTAGGTATGTGGGACTCGCTGGCTAACCGAAGCTAAACTTAACCAGGCTGCTGCTAACATACACGAAGAACAAAGACGTGTTAGTGCTCACTTTACCGTGTTCGTCATCCCTTTATATGTATTATGTTTTTGTTTTTAAGGACATTTTTTTGTAACGCATTACCTGGCCATTATTTTAAGGAGAAAGTAATCGAACTTTATTCGTGTAATTAGCATGATTGTGTGGTTTGCTAAGGGAGTTAGCTCGAGAGCTAAACAACATTAACAGTCTAACGTTACCAGTTCGCCTGTTTTATTTTGAGTTAAGTCTGCTTACTTTATGGTGACAGAGTATAAAACCTCACTTTATATATATAAGTTATATAAACAGTTGACGTGCTTTTATCGCTTTTGCAGTTTTTGGGTAATTTTGAGGAGAAAATATTTATAGCCTAAATTAGATAAACTGTTAGATTTTATTTAAAAGAGAGAGGGGAAGAAAAATCACATTTATAACTCAACTCTCTTTAAATGCACGTTTAGTCAGTTAATATGATTATACATATAACAGTTCCACATTGTTCGTCAGTGAAACATGATTTGATGTTTGCCACGTAACGTTAACATTCAATCAAAATTTCCAGGTGACGCATGTTGCGTATTATATGTTGAAACCTAACGTTAGTAATTTCTTGAGAAACAAGTTTTACTTTCGATTATACCTGTATGTTTAGTCAGTAATGGATAGAACTGAATTATTGATGACTGAATTGCTGAAAACAAACAAACAAATAAAAGAGTGATGCTAACAGACAAACCTAAGGCTTCTAACCTAGTTTTCCTTTGTTCTTGTTGTTGTTGGTTTTTTTTTGGATGAAGGGACTTTCCCACATAATGACATCAGTTTACTGGAAATATTTTATCATTGCTGTTCATGTCACACAGCTAGTCTGTCATAGTCATTATACAATATATTATATTTAGTTAATGACAGCGGTATTATATTTATTATATTTCCCCTTAAGCTGTGGATTGGATATTGCAACATGAATCCTTTGCTGGTCTCAGTCAATAGAGTTGCAGACTGTTGCCATGGGAGATCTGTTTATTATGCTCAGCACTCATTCAGTCTCCCTGAAAATGAGCTTTGCCCATTTCTCCCCCATCCCAAAGGCCCCTCATCCACTCAACCGGACAGTTATCCATTGGCTTTGCCCCTAACTTAAGTTTGCTCTGGTGATTTGTCAGTAATAAACTGCGTGGAAACTGGAAAGTAGTCCACATTTAGTTAAAGATATCATCTAAACCATATTCAAGCAGTGTGAAATCATTCTATTGCTTCTGCATCATCATGCATTAGTGACGCTTTCCACAATGTTGGTCGATCAATTCAGATTTACACTCAGGTAGCAACATGGTTATTAATGTATTTATTTATTTATAGGTTTAGTTTTTTGAAGCTGAAACTTGAAAGTAACTTGTGTTAATTTTAATTAAATTTTATTTTTGGAATCATAGTTTCTGTTTCCCTGTTGTTTTAGATTTATGTTTATATTATATTATTTTAATTTAACGGTTAACAAATGTTTGAGTTTTTGTTAAAGATTCACATTCAGACTCTACTCCAGACTCCAATCCTTTCACTTTCTTGTCTTTTTGATAATTCCTAGTGTACGTTGTAACATGGAAAAAATCCGCCGCTACTTCCGTTTCTGAATCCGTTTCGTGACCTGAATGAATAAACTGATAACAGGTGTTGACCTCAGTTGACTTAAAGCCAATGATGAGATTCCCTGCTGTCCTTTATGCCTGCTTGATTTATGACACACTTTGTGCCCAAAGTTGATTCACTTGCTTTCTGGCGAGAAGCTGATCTAGATCGAGCTTCAAACAATAGAGGCACACATGTCTGTGAGAAGATTGCTCACTGTCTCCAAGTCCACTATTTAGAGACATCTCTACTTTAGAGGAGTGCTCTTGAAAGGAAATAATGGTCCTTTAGTACCATAGAGACATTTTTATGTGATGAGAGACTGTGTTTGTTTGGCAGTAGGAGCCTGACTGATATATTTAGTGCCTGTTTCTGACATGAATCGTCAGCAGATATTTCAGTGCATGTTTACTTTTCACATATCACGGTCTGTGTATGTTGGGAAGAGGGTGTATGTTGGTTTGCATGAGCTGTTCTGTGTGCTCTTGTGTGGGAGTTTATTCATGAGCGTGTGGGTGAGTTTTTTTTTTTGTTGTTGTTGCTTTTTTGTGGTTATTTCTGTCTGTGAACGTTCAGATTTGTACAAAATGTACAGCGTGTAGGAGCATGTGCTTTAGCTTTAGTCTCGAATCTGATATTATGGGATAAGCAACTCAAGTCTCTTTAATCTGGTTGTAAACCTACATGCGTTAGAGTCTTTAATAGGTCTCCAGGCTGTTTGTTTCATTTCCAGTCACGGGCCAGTACTCCAGTCGGACTGATTCTAACAAAATACTTCCTGTTTCCTATTTCAGTTTGTTCATGTAATGAGCGACTAACTATTTCCATTAGTATGTGGGATGTCTCTTTAGGGAAGTGAGGCAATGTGCAAGTTCTCCCATTTCCCATCACGTAACCATACCTTCTTTTTGCTGTTACTTAATGTTCCTTGCTAGAAATTTTGTTTTAAGATTAGCTTTGTTCAATGCCTATATAACCATATGATAGTGTTGCTGTAGGCTCTTGTTTTGCATTTCCTGCATCTTGCTTTCTGCTGCCGTGACGTGTACAGTAACCTGATGATCTACAGGCAGTGATATTGTTCACTGATATACACAATCCGTCATGTGATCACTGTCATATGATTATGACTAATGTCACTGCCCATCAATCACATGCTGCTTGGCCTTTCCTCTAGTAACTTGTAAATCACTCCCTCATAACTTCCATGCATGGTCTTCCTTTCTTTCTTTAAGTAGTTTAATTTCTTTTACTTCACTGGCTCATTCTCTTTTCCTTCTTTCTCTTTTTTTTCCTCCCCCTTCCCATTCCCAGTAATGGATTTGTTCCCGGTAAAGCACTTAACTTCTCATTGATCTTCCTCTATAAGATGAAGAGCGCAGTCAGGCAGTGTTTAAAGGGATAGTTCATTTTGAAATTAATATTTGATATTTTTTAGCTTACCTCAAGGGTATCTAAGATGTAGGTGTCTTTGTTTCCACAGTAGTTTCAATTTTGATATTTCTTTCTATTCTTGTCTGTCAGTCATATAATGGAGGTATATAGGATCCACCTCAAAGGGCATGCACAGAGAAGTCCAAATTAAACATGATTTAATGACTCATAAATGTAAGTACACATTGATGGCCTAAGACACGAAACGAGCACTTTGTGTGAGAAAACCAACAGTATTTATATATTTAAATCTCTGTGTAAACAATGAGTGACGTACACGCGCGCGAGAGATCACTTCCGGGGGGCTTTCCGGCTCTTGCCGGTGCTTGTGCAGTCAGAAGCGCCCTCGCCCTCAGAGTACTTGGACGTGCCTGTGATTACGAGAGGTAAAAACGATATTATACTGTTTATATACTATAAATACTGTTGGTTTTCTCACACAAACCGCTCGTTTCGTGTCTTAGGCCATCAATGTGCACTTACATTTACGAGTCATTAAATCATGTTTAATTTGGACTTCTCTGTGCATGCTCTTTGAGGTGGACCCCCTAAACCTGCATTATATGACTGACAGATAACATTTACATAGTATACATAATTTACATAATATATTATTCAGACATCATCATCATCAAATATATAATACAAATGTAACATGTAGTAAAAATTAATTATTATCTAAATAAAATAATAAGATATAATTATAGTTTTAATAAACCCGAGACAGAAATGTCAAAAACTAGGTTTGAAATAACAGTCTGAAGTTATTTAAATGTGTAATTTTATTACTATTTTATCTGTTATACAAGCCATTTGTATTATATTGTTATATGTTAGCTGTTAGCATTCATCCAATTAAATAACTCATGATTATTGATGTTGCTAGCATCATACTCTTCTGCTTGAGTTATTGGAGCAAGACTGTCTTTAAATCAAATCAAATAATTTGATTTGTGCATATGGACTGAGTGTTTAGGTTTTTATTTGCCTCTTGTGAAGTGAAATATGCTCCTATGTCTGAAAGTGCAGCTATTGTAGGAGTTATAATTTCTGGTGGTTTGTTTTTTAATATCAATGAGGATGACTGTGCAGAAGACACAGATGGACTCATAGGTGGATCATTTCACAACATGAAAGTAACACCACCCCTGAGCTAATGCCTGGAGAGCTGTGACGCATCCGTGTGTGTGTGAATGGGGGGGGGGGGGGGGGTTATTTTTTAGAGAATCTTACTAGTGTAGGTGTCAGTCAGAATGGAGAATCCTGATGAATTGACTGTGTTTTTGTTTCTGATTAAAGCATCAGTCATTGCCTGTATGCTCCTAATATACTCCCTGGCCTATCTAATTAGTATAGGTTTCAGTTCCCGCTGGAGTCATGTGGTTGCTAGTCAGCTGAAAAATCAACTCCGGCAATATGGCTCTATATGAGATGACTGAAAGCATGGTTTCTTGTTTTATATGCACAATGTCTTATTTCCCCCATTTTCATGCTGGGACAATTGTGTTTTTTTTTTCTAGGATGTCATTGTACCCATCCCTAGAGGACCTTAAAGTGGACAAGGTCATTAGGGTAAGCAGTGTATTATACTATCTATTAATATGTTGAATGACCTTTTTATTTGTAAATTTTTTATTTCTATTAAGTGTTTTTTTAAATATTTTTATTTCCTTATTTCAGTACTTGAACTTTTTTTCAGTTAGTTTGCCAAGCCAATATATCTCATCTATTTTATTTTATTTAAGCTTTATTATTGAAAAACAAATGCTTTTTAAAGGGTTGGTAGCCATCCCTATGATTAAAGCACTTTAAAAGATCTAGGATTGAAGTAATTCAATGTTTACATGTTGTCTGCTCCTATAGGCACAATCCCAGTTTGCTGATGCCACTTCCAGTTCCCCAGCCATCACTCAGGGGGTCTACCAGCCACAGCCTGCCATACAGGGGATGCCGAGCTCCAGTGAGTCCGGGCTCTATTTTTCTGTCTTCTTATGATTCTTAAGTTGTCTATCTTGCTTTCCTCTCCATTATCATCTCATTCTCTTTCATTTCTGCAGTGCTGAGTGAGAGCTGTTTTTATAGAGATGAAAGGCATACTAGTGTTTGTGTGATTGTCAAACAGGAAATAAAGACATGCCTTTGGGGATCTGGCAGCAATTTCAAAAACAGTGCATCAGCCTTTCCTATTTCCTTTTTTTAATATTAGTGTGAAACAAGCACTCAAGTTGAACCCCTCTTATCCAGGCAGCACTGCCTTCCACCTATATGTTCTCATTAGCCGTGTCGGGCCAAAAGCGAGCATGCTAGTGCATGCCAGTCACTTCCGGGGCTTCATCTGGGCCAACGGGCAAGTTTTTCTTTGCCCGCCGAATACCTTGCTCCAAAGCGGGCCAACTGGGGCTTAAGGAGTGATCATGAACAAAGGCAGTGAGGGTCAACACCATGTCTAATTTCCCATGTTATTATATCAGGCTACCTAACTTCAACATTTAGGACATTTTAAACAATTTTCAGCTCATAACTCACTCTCAGACACCAGCGAGTGTTTGAATTAACTTCCATACGATCCGGTGGCGATTCTGACCACCATATGAGGCAGAAATATACAGCATTTATATGCGATTCTAAAGGCTTCTTATGCTGCTAACCATTGCAATAATAAATCCATAAATATGTTCATGGTAAATACCAGAGACTGTTTGAAGAAGGTAGACAAATCATATATGATTATAACCATGTATTTATGTGGTTTCATTAAGTTAAGCACAGTCAACCACAGTTCTATAAGACAGAGGGGTGTGCTAGTCTGTTTGTGTAAATCTAACACTAAGGTTTCACAGGCAGGCATCACAGGCAGACATTTTCCTATCTGAGCACTGGGGAAAGCAGGAGAAAGAAAAACAAGCATTGTAGCCGTGATTCAACTCAGGAAATAATTACTGGTTGGAAACATTCATGGCCAGAATCTGAAACCGGCGACTGTAGGATCACTGACACTTGAACTCTGTTCTTCACAGTTCTCTGTTATTCTATGTTCTGCTTTTTTCACTTGCTTAATGCTGTTATAACGCAATCTTGGATTTTTTTTAAACTATAGAATAAAAAAAAAAACATCTACAGGTTCATGGTTAACTATCACTACACTACTATTTTAGCTATTAGCTCTGTATCAGATAGGGAATTCAAAACTTCAATATGAAATGCATTTTTTCTCCTCATCCAGGTCTGTATCCGAATCTCGAGGAGCTGGGAGATTATATGGGCCTCAGTCTGAACAGTGATGAGGTCCAGAGAAACCTTGCACTGGTGCCGGTGGCTGACAGTGTAAGTATGCGCATGTTTCTGTTGCTTTAGCATGGCATAAATATGTTAAATACAAATGACAAAACAGCACAAAAGTTGATTGTCTCTGAGGACACATTTGCCTTTAGAGTTCAGTGTGGGTTTCTCTTCCCTGTTCTAAGGATATCCAGTCATTAAATATTTGTTGTATGCAAACAATGACATTTCAGAGTCTCAAATGCTTTCCTAGCAGTGCAAGCTAAACCACTCTTTCCTGGTTTAGTTTGCAGTACAGTCTGTTTTTCCATCCATGCCACTGTTGCCTTGGACAATATTTTCTCTATTAAAGCAGCCAAGGTAATTGTGTAATCTTTGAAAAAGGCGCCAGTTATGCGTGTTAGCTTTTGTGCTTTTTTCCCCTTCTTTTTCTGTGACTAGCGCAAACCGGCCACAGGGTGTCTTAGCATAACCCATAATTCTTTTCAGCATCATTCCTGGAAGCAGAGCTCAGGAGAGTGACTCATGCACTGTGTTGGAGTGTTGCTAATGTAGGCTGCTTTCGAAAGGCATCTTAAAATGATATTCACTGTTCTGTTCAAGTACTTAACATTAGACCAGAATCTCCCAATCGTTTTTGTACCATCACAGCCCCATCAATTAAAGATCAAGTAATTTATCAACACCAAACCAGAAATGCATTTCTCTTTACTAATACTGCTGGATATCATACATTCAGCGTTATTGTTAATATTCTTAAAGCTGCTTAAAAAAACATCACTGTGGGTGAAAAACAGACTCACAAACTAGAACATTCTAATATGAATATCTTGTTTTCATTCCTTGAAAAGAAGCAAAAAAATGACTCGATTGAATCACAATCATTTTTGGTTAATAATTGTTTTCACATTAGTTAAATGCATTAGATATCAATAACAATAAATTACAGTTTCTATTGCTCTAGTTTTAGATTAATATATTCTTAGGTTAATATATTTTGTTTTCTTGTTTATGCAACTTTACACAAAAAAATAAAAAGGTATTAGTTGGAGCCATAGTCTTGTGGGCAGCAATCTCGGATTCAAGTCCCGAGCAATCCGATGTACGTTCAATGAATCCAATGGTTCAATGCACGTTTTATGGGTAATCACTTTAGCGCCAGGTTACAATGCAGATATAAATTTATTATATAAGTCGTTTGAACTATGTTATAAAGACCATTATTGTCTTTTAACTTGAATGTTTCATATACTAGTATATATCCAAATCTATAGATTGTCAAATGAAACATTTATCATTCTTAGTGTTTTTTTTTTTAGTTCGCTTAGATATAGTAGCATAGCATACAGATATCCGAAATGTTTAGAGATAATGTTTTTTTCACCATCTATGATATTTTTAGATAAAAAAACTTCTATAACAAATATGATACAGGTATATATCTATAAGAATTAATTATTACACGACATGCTTGTAATTAAAAAAAATGTATATTATGGATATTGAAGATTATTACATGAATTAAAGTTTGATTGATTACATTTAAGAATTGCGAGAACACCTTTCGATCAGGCATACTACTGGGGTCCTAAGCTGGGATTCATCACTTCACCACACCGGCTTGTTGTTCTTTCCTGATCCATTCGCCTGTCTCTTCCCCTATTACTTCTGTCACTACTGTCCTATCTTTAATGATAAAAATAAAAATTCATATACTCTACCAATAAATTTGGGGTCAAAAAGATTTTATTTCTATAAAGATTCCGGAAAACAGTGCATCACAGTGCACAAAAATACTAAGCATTACAACTGTTTTCAACATGGATCATAATAAGGAATGTTTCTTGAGCACCAAATCAGTATATTAGAATGATTTCTGTAGGATCATGTGACACTGAAGAATGTGACACTCCGCTAGCTCTAATAGTAACTCATATCCAGGTTTAATTTGGCAGAATCTGCATTAGTACTGCATTAGACCATTTGCATGGATGGCAGTTGCTATCCACTTATCCACTTGGACACTTCCAGGTCCAAGCCTCCAAGTGAGAATACTAGCTCAACAGCAGTTTCTGAACATTATTTATTCATATTACACATTCAAGGTACGCTTTTATAAACTTGCGTGTCACGTTGGAGATACTACTGTATATTCTCAGGGCTCAAGGATTCTTGGACACCAATTAAACGATTATTTAAAAAGATAAATCCCTGTCTGGCCATCTGGGATGAGATAGAGTTAGGATCGTGTTTTTTTTTTTCTTCTTTCAATTTTCCCCCTGTAGTTTAATGGCATGCTGTGAGTGTGTATTAGTACCATTTGTTGTTTGCTTTTGGTATCTGACAAGGGTTTGTACCCAGAAAAGGTGATGCATGATTCAGACTTCACAAGCAGATTCTACAGAAGTAAATGTTAGTGTTGTATGTGACCAATACACTCACACATATGAGAATTAATTAAAATGGTTTTCTATCTCCTCGCAGCAAGTGGCAGTGCCAAGTTGTCTGGGTGGCATGGTGCGGCCCGTGACTGGTGCAGATGTGGGTATCCGGAGGGCAGAGATTCGCCCAGGTCTTCGTGAGGTCATCATCTGCAAAGACCAGGAACGAAAGGTCGGCCTCCGACTCAAAGATATCGATAATGTGAGTAAAGCTCTTCGCATTTAACACTTTCTCAGAGTCATGACTGGTGTTGTGATTTATTGTTTTGAGTGAGTAATTGGTATGTGGGTTAAAAAGGCATTACAACATCATTCTCAGCATATGTGTCATTGTTATCATCATCAGCAGCAGCCAGATGTCCTTATCTTCATGTATGTCATTGTCTTTAGGGAGTGTTTGTCCAGCTAGTGCAGGCAAACTCTCCAGCGGCTTTGGGTGGTCTGCGTTTTGGAGATCAGGTCCTGCAGATCAACGGGCAGAATGTTGCTGGCTGGAGCTCAGATAAGGCCCACAAAGCTCTGAAGGCAGCACCTGAACAACGCATCGAGCTCATCGTTCGTGACAGGTCAGTCATTTATATCTATACAGTACATGTTTGGGTCAGTAAGAATTTTTTTTTTTTTTAAATTAGTCTCCTATGTTCACACAGGCTGATCAAAAATAACGAAAAGTGTAACATTGTAAAAGTTTATTGTAATTTAAAGTGTGTGTGTGTGTGTGTGTATATTACACTAACAAAATATTCATAGAAATTTGACAGCATCAGCATGACATGTGTATTATTATATTTGTGTCGTTCTTTGCTGCCTCCTGGTGGTTGAATGATTTTTTTGAACGCAATATGAAAAGGAAAGTTCCTAATTGATCCAAGGTAAAGGAGTAGTTCACTTAAAAAAAAAACTTTTGCTGATAATTTACTCACCCCCATGTCATCCAAGATGTCCATGTCATTCTCTCTTCAGTCGAAAAAATTGTTAAGTTTTTGATGAAAACATTCCAGGATTTTTCTCCATTTAATGCACGTTACTGTTAACTAAACGATTCAAGGTCCAAAAGACAGTTTTAAGTGCAGCTTTAAAGGGCTTTAAACGATTCCAGACGATGAATAAGAGTCTTATCAAGCGAAACGATCGTTCATTAAAAAAAAATTACAAAGTTTAAGTTTTATAAGCTCAAATGGTCGCCTTGCTCTCAACGATTTTGAAGTTGACATTTCTCTCTTCACTCTTACTGTTTGCATTACTGTTTAATGCAATATCATGATTACATAAAAAAGGGGTTGAATCAAAAAATCATTTTCAACTATATGTTCCAGACCATTCCAGCGCACAGTCACCATGCATAAAGACAGCTCTGGCCACGTGGGCTTCATCTTCAAATCTGGGCGCATCACGTCTCTAGTGAAGGATGGTTCTGCTGCCCGCAATGGCCTGCTCACAGATCACTACATCTGCGAGATCAACGGCCAGAACGTCATTGGACTCAAGGTGAGTTTTTTTATTTCATTTTCCAGAATATGCCTTTAAATGTGGTCTCTGTCATGTCCCAGTACCAATTGTTTTTATAGTAAAATCACAAACCCATAAAATAAAATGTTAAAAAAGGCATTTCAGTGTTAAACTGAGATCCATATCTATCACTTACTATAAGAAATCAAATTATTTGATCAATTTGAGATTTGTGGAGTAAAGTATTTTGTTTTCTGTCTCCAGGACACTCAGATCAAGGACATCCTGACCACATCTCCTACTGCCATGACCATCACCATCATGCCTAAGTTCATCTACGACCACATGATTAAGAAGTGAGACCCAGCTTTTTATATACTCCTAAACTATTTAATAATTGTAGTATAGCAGTGACTAAATAAAGAAATAAATTGTACGTGTGTTTTAAAAAATTATAGCTATAAATAATTTCGGTATTTACATCTATAATTTCACTGTTAAGCCTTTCCGTAAACCTTAACCCACCATCAAATCTGCCCAGTAGAGCTGCACGATTCAGGAGAAATTGAGAATCATAATTTCTTGAAAAAAGTTTTTCCCATTATTTGTTGTCTGAATAGACAACAAAATAACTGACTAATTTACTCTGTTTTGACAAAATGTTAATTGCTGCAGTCTATTTAAAACATTTTTTTTTAGTTAATATGAATTATGTAAAAACAAATCGGTTTAAATGGTTGACTAAATGACTCACTCGAAGACATTCATTACCCTATGAATCAGTGTTTTTAACATCTCTTGAATGATTCAATTGCAAATGCATTTTTTTAAAGCTACACTGTGTGATTTTTACCCCCATCTAGTGGTGAAAAGGTATATGACCATCCAGTGAATATTAGTTTCTGTTCCTCTCAATTCCGATTTCGTTTTAACTCCTACGGTGGCCAGTGTAGTCCAAGAGTAACATGGCTTCCAGTTCTACCTCGTCCATGAGTGTTAACTCAAACGTAAACGCGAAAGGCGAAGCTTGAATTAATGGGTATGTCCCTCTTTGGCTAATTTACTTTCAAGATGGAGGGGCAACATGGCGACACTAGAACCCCTTACCCGTATGTATTTTCAATGGCATATTATACACTCACGAGAATACTTTATGTAGTTTCAATGGCAAATTATACACTCACGAGAATACTTTATTACTTGAACAAAGTAAATGTACATTAATGAGCACATATATTTTTGAAAGAACTAAGTGTTTTTAGCTAAGAATAAACCAAAAGTGTTACACAGTGTAGCTTTAACAGTCACTTGTCTACTGGTGCAACAGCAGAACTGATACAATAGTTATTTGAAGCATCAAGTTACTTTCAAATTGGGTTTTACTCTATTTTGATCGCTACTGTGGTCAGTGTTTATACCTAAACTATAAACTTTTACTGCAGTGCTTTTGTGATCATTTGAGTAATATTTCAGTTTCATATCTATACATGGCCACTGCTCTCTCTGGGTTCGCAGTTGCACCAACACATATTTGAACGTACCCTGTGATAGTACTTGTAAATAAATGACTTCTTAATGTGCATCAAGCTTACTTAACAAAAACAGACATCAATAATCTGAAAAATTTGAGTCAAAAATAATCGTCAGGCAAAATGTTCCGATGACAGCTGTAATCTGTGTATTGCAGGATGTCAAGCGGCCTGCTGAAGTCCTCAATGGATCACTCTGTGCCTGAGGTCTGAACACAGGAGTACACTCACACCCCTTTCCACAATGCCTACAATCTCTAGCCTTCCCATTTGAGCCTTCCACCTCATGGGTCATCTATCACTGATGGGATAAACCTCCTCAATCACATTCATTTATAACATGTACAAATGGCCTTTTTATTTTACTTGTTGGCTGTTATTGTTTTGCCTTCTAGTTCTTGATTCTGTCCTTCATGTCATTGTTGTCATATTACATGTTATATAATAATCCATCGTCATAACTGAGTATTATTATTATTATTATTCTATTATTTTAATTTGGCTGGGAGGAAAGGGGTTAAAAACGGAATCTGAGCTTCCTTTTTGAAAAGCGTTAGCTTCAACACTCCTATCTTTTCCATTTCTCCCACTATGCACAAACACTTTGTTTTTTGAACATCTATATGCCAAGACAGCTGTACTCTGCCAGAATGAATCATTGGCCAGAATTTGTAATGTCACAACTCATTTCTTATTGATTGTGAACATGTTTTTTTTAGGCGTTTAATCTTTGATGATATTCTGTCATTATCCTGTAAATGTTTTAGTGTCTCTAAAAATTTATATTCGAATGTAACCTGAATACTGAAATTATTACAAAATAAATAATCATCCTGGTGATACCATTGGAGAATATTGCTCTATATATATATATATATATATATAATCAAAATGTTTTACACATTTGCTCTTTTCCAGATGATTAGGAACTTGAAACAACGGATGTAAAAACATCAAAAGTAGCAAGAACTCTTTGTTCACCATGCTGTTTAATATAGATCCTTTTACAGAGCGATGTTGGTCAAGAGCAATGTGTTGCAGTGATGTCTGTTCACACGAATATTACCATAAAAAATATTATTCTACACAAAAATATCAATAGACAATATGAAACATTGCCAGACTTACAAGACTGGTTCCACTTAGGGTGCTGTTAGACAATACAGAGCCAAAACTGAAGTGCCAGATGAAAAATGTAAACGTCATTGGACTTCTTATGTAAGAAAAAATCTCTATAACAAATGTACCTCTCTGAAATCAAATCTTGTAGGCACAGTCGTATAATCCTGCTTAACAGACACTAAACTGCTGATGTGAGTGTCAGTTTCCCACCAATTTTACATTTCAATGATCACACTGAAAGAAAAAAACATGGTTTATGACTTTTTGGTGGCTAAACCACTTTCAATCTTTTCATTTAACCAAATAATTTGCAGAATATGTGGTACTAAAGTCTTCTAACCATATTTGAAAGTGATAAAAGGAAACAGACAGTTACCATGCTCAGACACAGTGCTGTTAACCTCGGAAGATACGCAACAAATACTTTATTAGTAAACTAACATGTATTAATATCGGTAGACTTCTTAATGGTGGATCTGAGGCTTTAAAGCAAATAATCTGTGATTATCAGTTACCATCCAAATGCAGAAAGAAAAACATTTAATAAGAATAACTGATGCTGCAACACAAATCTCCAGCACACACTTACACAAGAAGAGTGTTGAATGCTGTTTGAAAGTATTTTTCTTTTTATAAAATAACTATAATATGACAGAAATATTATTACTCAAATTTACCAGCATATAGGGCCAACATACACATCTCTGCTAGTACTATGGCTTCAAAAAATTCAAGAAAATCTTATCAAGGCCTTGTGTGTCAATTCAGCAGTTATACAAAGATTTACATCAGCGTAAAACATTTATCTGGTCAAATAACTAATGCAATAGTTATTTACGAACATTTCATTGACAAACAGACAGTAGCAGTTTGGAGGAAACCTCCTGTTTTTGAAGTAGCGCTTGATTACAATCTCATTAACCTCATATTCCGTTATATCTGAAAACCACACATTCATAGTTTAAACAAACAAAACAAAAATTCAGGAACATATATCCCTTCTTTTCTTCTAATCTATTGTAAGGTTCTTTAATAAGCGCCTAGTTGGAATGAGGTAAAAAGTGCAGGGACTAGACTAAATTAAAGACACGTGTATGCACTTAACGCCACATAAAGCACAAATTAAGATTGTCAAGCAGAATAAATATCAAGTGCTGGAAACTTCACAGATGCCGCACAAAATCTGCACAACAGAAAGCAGCAAATTATTTGATAGAGAACTTTGCAAACAGACAACAAATAAAGAATATATCCAGCCATACACTGTACACAATATCAGAGGGAGGTAGACTGAAAGGCAGCGGCTATTAATGGTTTAGAGGGACAGAAGATAAGATGATATGTGAGATGCAAATAACTATGCCTGGCTGATTATCTGGTACACTGTTTTCTGGCTAATCAATCCAGCGGTCACATACACAAAGTATAAATCTGTAAGTACATTTTGTAATTCAGTGATGATTCTTTGAAATGGTGGTGTTGGTGAAATTTAACATGTATGCATTGGCCTTTGGACAGACAGAAACACACAATCAAGTTTACTTCAAGTAATTGCTTATAAAGTGAATTATAGTGCAATCGACGTCACCTTGGTGTCAGTCAAATGAATGGTCAACATGAACAAAGTCATGGCCAAATGTTTGGAATCAGATTTGTTTCTGCATGCTATTTTTTTTAATAAACTTTCAACAAGTTTTATATTTCTCTTTTCATACCAAGTAACAATACAAAGTATTTTTTTCTTTCTTTGATCTTTTAGTGGAATTATATTACATGGTATTTCTGAAATAACATATTAGCTACGTCAATACCATAACATTACACCTATTGTTAAGCTTAGCATTTTATCCAAAAAAAAAAAAACCCATTTGGCTATGACAGTATTTTGATGGTCACACAGTGAAAGAAAATCATAAAATTCATTTCTGGTGAAAATCTCCCATGACCCGATTAGAGTAATTTAACCCTGATCATTGTCTAAACGCTGAATCTTTTTACTGTTAATATTATTACTTAAAATGTGTTGCCCTTTTCCTATTTCCCATTTCTCAACCATCAAACTTTCCCACTTATTTGAGCCTGAAATAAAGAATACATTTTCTAAAATACCCCAGATGGACTAAATATCATTTTGTGACAGCATTTATCTAGGACACTAGTTGTATATGCAAAGCATATAAATAGATGAGAAGGTGCTTGCCTGACTCCTTAAGGGGAAAAGTTGATTGCTCTGAGCCACACAGGCAAAAGTAGTGGGACAGCTAACTACTGCACTCACGGCTACAACAATGACGGCCATTAGTAATCCAGGTACTTTGGCTGCACTGTACATTAACACAACAAAAACACTCGCTCAGATAAATCAACTCGCATATAGAGCACACACACCCTCCGCAGTGACAGTGAGAGTGACGCACAAAAGGTCAGTTCCTTCCCATCACTTATTCTTCACTCGAAATAAGCGTAACACAATCATATTAAAGGGGTCAGTAATTGTGTCAGTAATTCAGAACACACAATCTCGCCTATTTTCAGTGTAGCTGTTGTGGAGAAAGATGAAAGCTCGCTAGTCTTCATGAGCATCTTATTTGTAGGTGTAAATACATGCTAGTGATTCCTCTTCCTCATTCTTATCTCCTTTTGAATATAGACCATAGAGAACCACAGCATTAAGGTGCTGTGCTCAGACACTATGCTTCCAGAGGTTGCCTCAATTCAGTTTAAGTTTTAGCCACTCTCTTATTGCACATCTTGTGATATCACTGGCTGCAGGGCTTCCCAAGACAGAAGAGAAGGTCTCATATATTCATTCCTCCTGGACCACCTCCTCCTGCGGGGTAGTGCCGAAGACCACCTCCTCGACGCAGGGAATGGAGGGCCACAGTGCAGCAACCCCGCAACAGAGAACCAATATGGTACATTGGTTGACCATCACGGTGTGGACCCCGACAAAGCCATGCCACTGTGGGGACCACTGGCACGACCACTGCAAGCAAATCCACTAGGAAGTGCCGGCTCCAGTAGTTCTTTACAGGTAAACCGCAGCCAGGCGACTTGGAATCGGTGTTTGTAGCGCTCTCGTCAACCTCATCTTCATCATCGGAACCTATATTGATTACATCATCCCCTGCAACCCCAGCCTCTGTAAGTACACTACGAGGCTGAGTGGTCTGTGGAAGGGTGTCCTCCTCCGTCTCGACCAAAGTCTGTACCGAGCAAGGCGAGGTCCCAGGGTTTGGCATAGGGTCTGTTAGAAGTTGAACAGAGTTGGTAACTGGAGATACGATGGTCTCTGTGGTCATAGCTGTTGTTGTGATTGTCAAGTCTGTAAGAGACTCTGAAACAGTAGTCTCCTTGACCGGGGACTCCATGGGGATCGACGCTAAAGATGCAGGTCCTTTTGGAACTGATGCAGTTGGTGCACAAGGCTCCATTGCAACAACCGGTGCAGACTTAGTGGAAAAATCAGTGCCAATGGAAGTTGCTGTAATGGCTGACTCTGTAGCTAACAACTCCAGATCATCTCCCTCATCAGACATCCAGGTAGAGGTCGGGCTGCAGGCTTGAGAGCGGAAGGTACGCTCAGCAATAGTGTCCAGATCAGAGTTAAAAGATGTACTGGGGCCATGTGCTGGCGCTGAAGCTGGAGAATGGTCGGTCTGAATGCCTTGCTCACGCAGGTGGTGCAGGTATAAATGATGATGGGACAGACATGGATTACTTATGCTAACACTGGTCCCCATTCCGATCCCACTGCAGAGGAGTGGTACAGCTCCCGACTCACTGTTGCACAGCGCTTCATAGGTGGAGGAGTGTGGCAGGCGGGAGTACGCATTGAGCAGCGAAGCAGTTTCTTGGGACAGAAATGCAGCCTCCAGGAGCAGGTCTGCCTTGCTGGCTCCTCTTCCACTCTCTCCGCAGCAAACAAACCCGCTGTCCTGCGTGCCCTCGCCTGACAAACATGGAATGTCACAGCCGTTTTCATTCCCCCCACGTTCCGGGCCGGTCTGGTCACTCAGCTTGGTGTAGGTAGAGCTGCGGGTAAGCGAGCGAGCTGGGGAGCCTTCTGAAGACTCCTCCAGGCCCTCGCTGACCTCCAGCCCTGCCCTCACCACCCCTCCACCCACTAGGGCTTCTCCTGCTTTGGTGGTCCCGACCTGAGCCAACTCCATGCTTTGCAATAAAGACTCTAGCTTGTGGTTCTGGAGGTTTATGTCTTGGAAGCACTTCTGCACCCCAGTGTCGGTGTCTCCCAGACTGGACGAGACAACTTCTACAACCTGTTTAAGCTGCTGGATCTCCCTGCGAGCCTCCTTTAGAGCCAGCTGAGCCTCTACACGGTGGCACTCCTCTTCAATCCAGTCTTCTTGCATACGAGACAGCTGAGTACGCAACTCATCAATCTCAGTGTCCCTAAGGAAGGAGGTGGAGAAAGTGAGAAAGAAACAGAGGATGTCAAAAAAGAAAAGGAAGGCACAAATGTACAAAAGTAGTGACCAGCAGGTAGAGAAAAGACCAAAATGAAATCTGTTGTGAAAATATGGTAGCATTTTATTTTACAGTCCTGTTCCCCATGTACATACTACAGTATGTACTTATTATAGTAATTGCAATAACTAGGTACTAGCCCTGAACCTACCCATAAACCTTACTTTAATCCCTGTAGTTAGCTTTTTTAGGTAAGTACACTGTAAGCACACGTAGGTGCACATGCCGTAAAATA